TTTAAAAATTTTATTACCTCCTTTTTTAATGGTTTCCATATAATAATACCTTCACCTTATGTTTCATTCATATACATTGTTTTATACAGTCTTTCATTTACATTGTGATGCAGTCATTCATATGTTGCCTTTTATATAATGAATTACGGTTGATCTTTGTCAATTATTACCCTGTCTTTTTGAGTCTAGTTGCAGCTTTTGTTCCTTCCACCTGCAAACCTCTGCTGTCCTAGTGATTTCATTCCTTCCCCTTTTCTGTCCCCTTCCTCCTGTCCCCTTTCCTTTTTGAACATTTATACACAACTTATTAGTTATCCTTCTGTTTTTACAGTAATGTTCTTATGCCCTTATGAGACTGAGTTTATTCTGCATAATGCTCTATAGTTTATCTATCTATCTATCTATCTATCTAGTTGTATAGTATTTTAAGAAATTGTTTTCCATTAGTATTCCATTGTGTGAATGTACCACACTTTCTCCATCCGTTCATTTATTGATGGGCATTTGGCCTGTTTCCATTTACTTGCTATTGTGAATAACATTGCCATGAACATAGGTGTACATATCTCCATTTGTGCCTCAGTTATAATTTCTTTGGGGTATATTCCTAGTAATGGGATAGCTGGGATTTGTATAGTCCACCTTTTGTGGGGACACCAACCTGCCTTCCAGAGTGGTTGTACCATTTTACAGTCTCACTGGCACTGCATGAGAGTTCCAGTCTCTCCACATCCTCTCCAACGTTTATTCCTTGCTGTCCAGTTAAGCTTCATTGTGAGTAATTAAAAAAAAAATTATGATTATCATAAGAGTCCGGAATGAAGGTTGCAGAGTGGAGTATACTCGGGGTGGGGGTGGGAGGGATTGTATACCAATGAAGGAATTTTACTTTTTAAAGAGAAGAGCGAACTGGGGGTGGTGGGGGGCGGGGAGAAAAGTGCAGAATGAATGAATGGAAATCCAAAACTCTGTAAATGTTAATTGAAATTAATAAAAAAAATAATTTCTTTGTTTTAAGAGTGAAAGTTTCTAGAGCCCTTCCCATTTCTGTCCTGTAATTCTCACTTTCATCAATCCTATTATCATGCTCTTCTCTGTCTTCTGAGCTTAGTTGTTTTGTTATGTGCCTTTGGGTTGGAACCAACTCATAGTTGACCCTCCACTGTTTTTTCGGCTTGTACAGGAGGAGATTGCCTATCTTTTTCCTACAGAGCAACTGCTAAATATGAACCACTTGCCTTCCGGTTGGCAGCCACTAGACCTCCCTTAGTTTTATCTATGGGCAAATACTGCTCTTTTGATTTTGTTTGAGTGTTTTAAAGCAATCAGTACCTCCTCGGCATTCTTGTTCATGTTTTAGTGCTGTTTGACCAGTATCATTTGCCAGAAAGTTGAACCATGGCAGTCAGTTCCATTCTAGTTCCAGATGTAAAAGTGACTAATGGCCCTCGTTTTAGGAGTTCCACCATTCTCTGTCGGTGAGCCTAGAGATTTTTACAGATTTTTCCCCTCTCATATTTTTTGCCCATTCTGTCCAACACTTTCTGCTGTGAGCTCTTCTAGAATGATCAGCACTGGCAGTAAGATCCCAGCTAGTTTTGGCTTCTGGATCGTGAAGGTTGAGGTGCCCATATTCCTGTGTTTCTGTCATCGTCTCTAGTCTTCTCTCTTTTTGTTCAGGGCAAGAAGACAGCAATAGCTATATTTTTAGATGACTGCTCAAAAGCTTTTAAAACTCCCAGTGGCTACTCACCAAAGTGGCATGTAGAACACTATCTTTGTGGACTGTTATTCCAGTTAACCTTGATGTCACCTGTATATTCTTTAAAATAACTCCTTAGTCTCATCCGTGGATACTCTCATTCCATATGTCTCAGTGTGGATCTGAGGAATATGTTGCATTTAGAAATTCCATGTATGTTTCTAGTGCACAAATATAACATGTATTGATGTTTAAATCTTAGTCCTTTTTTTCTTGAGAGTTTTTAGAAGTCTGTATCTTAGATACTTTTGGAATACTTCGGTTATCTTCTTATGTGAAATATGTTGACCTGAACCTTTCTAGGCTGTGTGGGAGGGGATTGTTGTTCTGTGCTGTCCTTCAGTCAGACTAGAGATACTTGATTTATGTATGTGTGTCGGGTTTTCATTCCTAAATTGAGGTCACCAGATTACGCCAAACACTTGCCAACCTTCTAGCATTTCTGACTCGCAGAGCTTTTCCCTCCTGGGAATTGCACTCATTATAATTTTTCATTGATAGTTATTGCCTCTTCTGGTTCTTACTGAGTCAACAGAACTTTAATACTGAGACCTGCCTTGAGCCTGCCCGCTAGACCCTAGAAGGTCTCTCTTGTCTTGGTACCACCGCCACCTCAAACAGACAGAAACAGCTCTTCCCTTGAGAAACAAGCGTTTTGCTGTTGGAGTTTCTCATGAAGAAGTTTCTGGCTATATAATTTGGCCTTTTCTAATCATGTCTTAGCAGTTTCTACCCACTGGACTAGAGAAACATGGCCCCCAGGTACAAGGTGTACCTGCTGCCAGTTGTCTAAGGAGCTGGCCTGCATGACTCATCTTTGTCTTCGGTGAGACATTTGCTCTAGAGGCCTGTTAAATTCTCTATTAGTAAGCCTGTTGCTGTTCATTCAACTCCAGCTTGTGGGAACCCCAAGTGTGCCAGTATAGAACCATGTTTCTAGGATTTTAAATGACTGATATTTTAGAAGTTCACTAAGCCTTTCCTCCAAGGCCTCTCTGGATGGACTCAAACCTCCAACCTTTTAGTTTGTCTCTTATGTATTAACCTTTTGAATCACCCAGACATTCCTTTATACTCTGTGTTGCTAGGTGCTGTCAAGTGGATGACATCTCCTGGTGACCCTGGGAACAGCAGCTCTGAACTGTGTTCTGTCCTGTGCCATCCTCATGATCTCTGCCATGTTCAAGTCCATGTGGTGGTTGCACTTCCTTCAAGATAGATTTGTTTGTTCTTTTGACAGTCAGTGGTATACTCAGTACTCTTTACTAGCACCACAACTCAAAGGCATTTATGCTTTCTGTAGGAGCCTAAAATGTTGGTGCCTAGGGACTGGCTAGAGCAGGGGAACAGCACAGTATCTTCTTTAACTGTCGCCTGTGGCCTTTGAGGAGTATCAGAATGCTTTCTGGTGTTTTTAAATAATAGGTGCACTGTGTAACCCCTATGCAACTGAGTATGTGGAACTGGACTTGCTGGGGAGTGAGTGGGAGAGATTAATACATTTTTACAAGGCTGTACATTGGAACCAATCTCCATTCTTGAAACACCTGCCCTGCTAGACTGGACACATCCTCGGCTCCTCAGTACCTGTAATTATTTTTTTTTATTAAGTGAGGTCTGGGTAAAAGAACAGTAGTCATCATAATACTGTAAATTATGGTCTCAAGCTTTTTTTGGCGGAAAAATACCATGTTGTTTTAAGACTAAAAGTTCCTCAGAGGGTGAGAAATTCACTCCCAGCATAGTTCAGACACACGAACTCCTCATAACCTTTTATTTCAAGTTCCAACTCACAGAGGTCCTAGTGGTTCTTGGTTGATCCTAGAACATGATGGAGAGTGTTGTGAAGTGTGTTTTGTCATGAGTATTCATTCCTCCTCTATTCAATGCAATTTGGCAAATATTGAGAACTTACAGCAAGGTAAGCATTGTTGTAGGTCCTGAGTAATGAACAAAATCACAATATTCCTTAAAGAGATTTTTATCTTCACCAGAATATGTGTGTTCATTGAATACATAATTCAGTGGCAGGATTTAGCACAGTGGATCTGCAAGATCACATATTGAATCAGAGGATTCCGTTTTGCATGAGAAACCACGATTAAACTTGCAAAATAAACAGAAGACTTGGCCTTACTAGACCAGTTATTTTGAGTTAGGCCAGGTTCGCGGTCCTTAGGAGTTGAGAGAAACTTTTTCTGGAGGCTAAATGAATAAATAAACCTGTGGGAACAGCACTTTGTTCTGAAAAGGAATAGTGGATTAAATGTTTGTTCCTTGACTTTGGGAATGAATTTGCAGAGAAGCATTTTCTGCTACAAATCTTTTTTTGACGACTCTGTACTGTTTTTGTGTGTTTGTATTTTTGGTTTTTTGTGTTGTTGTTTTGGGTATGTTTATTGATGAGCATAAAAATTTTGCCATCTCAGGATTTTCTACATGTAATATTCTATGGCATTAATCAATTTTTCAGGTTGTGCAACCATCTGCTCCATTTGTTTTCAGAGTTTCACCCTGTGCTTCAACTCCATATATTTAGCTCCATGTGTATGCAGATAGCTCAGAGTCTTGGTGTTTCCAGTATTCTATTTGCCCATTTCACCTACTTAAAGAATTAATTTGAGTTGGCTGAATGATTTAGGACTCTGGGATGTTCTTTACAAGTAACTGCAAATTTCTATCTTTCACCATTAGCAGGTTAAAATAGCTTTCCACAGTGTCTAATTTGCTTCTGTGTTATTGTTGATGCACTCAAAGCATTTGAATCAGTTTGACACAATATGAAAAATTTGAATGTACCTTCCTAAGAATTTTAATACCAAATTATTTGACATTTTTAACCCATCTGTGAGTTTATTTTTACCCCATCTGTTTTGAAAGTAAGGGTGGGGGTGAAGAAGTAAAGTGAAAGACGGGTCCTTGTTTACCATGAACTGCCTTCTGGGCTTCTGAGTGTGCTAGAAAATGGTGGGACTACAAAGACAGCCGATGAAAGAGAAGCACATCAGAAAGGAATTTTAGAATGAGAGAACATGAAGTGAAAAAGGATCATTTTTTGGTTCTGGCTCATGTTGCTGTTTGTGAGTTAAGTAGCTTAAAAGAGAAGTAAATAGAGTGTGAGAGAGGAAAAAAAAAACCCATAGATACTCTGGAAGTAATTATTAATGCTGAAGATTGCATCTAATTTTGGACTGCTTGTGTTTGGACTTTCACATGTGTGATGAAATGTCTGTTTCAGGTTTGTGGAGAGAAACAGCGCTTCGAGAAGCTGATGGAACATTTCAGGAATGAAGACAATAACATAGATTTTATGGTGAGTTGTTTCAACATTACTATCAACAAAGCACACTCAGCAGTTTTTCCTAACCCCACTAGGTGTGTGTGTATATATTACAAAGGACAGGAAATTGAATATTATATGCTATCGATCGAATGTAGTGTCCTTCTTAAGCTGTTTTTTCCATTCTGGTATTTATTACCTCCATATTTTATAGTATAGGCCTGATTATTTATAGCAAACAAAAGAGAGGATTCGTGCAGTTGGGAAAAGAAAATGAACAGGTAAACATTTTAGGAATCTTTAATAGATCCTGGGAGTTTTGAGTATTTCACCTCCTATATCAGCTTTTTCAGACCCCAGGCAGTGACCTTCTGACTACATTCCCAAATACTACAATACTTGACAGTGTATATATATCTATCTCTCTCTCTCTCTCTCTATCTCTATCTCTATCTCTATCTCTATCTATATCATCTATATCTATATCTATATCTATCTATATCTATCTCCCAAATTAAGGAGCCCTGGTGACACAGTGGTTAGGCACTCAGCTCCCAACCAAAAGGCGGGGAGTTCAGATCCATCCAGTGGCTCCAAAGGAGAAAAGACCCTGTAAAATGCAAACTCATTTCTGGTGGAATCGGAATCAACTCACAAATGATCCTGGAGTGAGTTTTCCAAGATGGTAAATCACACAGGAAGAGATTTCCCATTTTTCCCCCGTGGAGCCACTGGTGGATTTGAGCCATCAGAGAGGTGTCAACCTTGAGCCAGCAGTACAGCTCCCTACATAACACGCCACCAGACTCTCTCCTGTAACCATTCCAACAATTTAACCCTTGCGGTGGAGTATGTATGTCCTAACTTGTAGGATCCCTATAAGACCCAGTAGAACTACCCTGTAATGTCTTAATCTTCCTAAGAACAAATGGCCATGTCTTTCGCCAACAGTAACTGGTGGCTTCAAACCATTGACCTTTTGATTGGTAGCTGAGTGCCATTAAGGAAGATTTAAGCCTAGAAAACCTCTAGGACAGTTTATTCTTTCGTGTTACAATCAACTTAACAGCATACAATAGCTCTATTCTCCTATCCTCAAAACTAATAGACAGTAATACTTTCTCCAGTACCCACCACCGCCACCACCCCATGCACCGATGATGTTCCTGTTCTGGTAAGGTGATGAGGACATAACCATTCTACAGCTTTCCTTAGCAGGAGTAATTACACTTTAAAACATAGGATTCAGCAGCAATACAGTCATACTAGGGTTAAAAGAAAAAAAAAATTCTTTAAAAGACAGCTAAATAAATTTCATAACTTCTGAATTCATATACCTAAATCTTAATCATGGCCTGAAGATGCTCTGGAGACTTTCCTGAGACAAATTACCCTTGAGTTCTTTGAGATCTGCAGGCTTTCTTTTCCCTAATGCAGTCCCCGGAGGGAACGTCTGGGCTCAGGAGGTCCACACCTGGACTTAATCTTCCAGCTCAGTTCTTGCCTGCAGCAGAGACCCTAATCAGCTTCTACATTGTGTGACCATCCACAGCCTGTGCTTAGGGTACCAAGTACAGTTTTTATTTTAATTGCTTCGGTGATGGTAGAGTATAAAGTGTATTTTTACAAATTTGTAATGCTCTTTTGTGGAATCATGCCCCCACCCCCCGCCCCCAGCCCGGATTATCAAGATTTTCTGTGCCTCCTAGCCCCTGATCCTCTCCAAAATTGATAGGAATGAAGAAACACTGGTTGTCTGTTCCATAAAGCAATCTGTTTGCTCTTTAAAAGAGGAAAAACTAAATATAAAACAAGGAATCACTTTCACGTTGCCTTTTTAATACTTGTTGCTAGGAGGCTTTTTGGTGTATTTAAGGCTAATTTTTGCACTAGTGATAAATATCTGAAGAGGCTTATACCATGGCTCACCTTACCAGTTCTTTAATCTGCCTTGTTAACAGAGTCTGCTTTGTTCCTTTAGAGCTGAAGTTGCAAACAAGAAGCCATCAACAGAAAACCAACTTACAGAATTGTGATTTTTAGTCTGACCATTGCTGACTTTATATAAACAAAGTTTGGAGATAGCACATAAAAATACAGGTTTCTGATCTTCTTGAAAATGGAAAATTTTGATACCACTGGATTCTTGTTTCTTCAGGAGCCTAGTGACCTAGTCCTTTACTGCACAAAGACCTCCTGTATAGTTTATCACAGTCCACACCATTCCCTATTGTGCTTTATGTGGTCCACCTCACTCACGTATATTATCTACCAGATATCTCTGACCATTTTTGTTTATGCTGAAATTTTAATTATATGATGCCCACTCTAACACCTGCAGCTGTCTGACTACAAGCAAGAGCACATTTTCTGCCGTTCATTGGTTCACATATACATATAATGAAATAGCTCATTGAGAGATTGCATGGGTATTGTGGACTTCGTTCATGTGTCACCTAGCAAAAAGCGCATATTGTAAAGTTCAGCAGAGTGTTTAGACCTGCTTTCTCAAGAGAAATGGAAAGATGCCAAAATCTGACTGTGTTTTTCCTCCAGAAAATGAGACTTTTCATAAAACAGCCTTGGGGATACAATTAGGTTGCTCAACCTCCCAAACAACGTATCCCTCATAACATATAATATAAATTGTTTTAATATAAGTAAGAGATTTTATTTTTTTTTCTTGTAATTGTGTGTGTGTGTGTGTGTGAACAAAGGAGAAAACAGGCTCATTTTACCACAGAATCTGGGGTCATTAAGTAAATGATAGTAGAGTAGTAACCTAGAGAGTTTACATATCTTCCAGAAATATCTAAGTGTGATGTAGTCAACGCAAGGTTTAACCTTTTAGAGACACTTTTTGAAAAAGATAAAGGAAACTGGGGTTGGAGAAGAGAAGAATAATGAGGTTCCGAGAGAGAAAATGAAGCTAGACTTCTCTGTCTATTCACCTCTTGGGAGAGAAGGAGACAGTAGCAGAATTTGTTCAGCGTGTACAAACTGTTGATTAACTCTTATTCTTTCGCAAATTGGAGACTAGTTTTCTGTCAGATGCCAAGGCTGCTGATGAGGTTGTGGCTGGGAACAGTGAAACCACAGCTTTCTGTGGAAACTATTTGTTTAAGATGAAAATATAGATGAAAGCTATATTACTATCATATTGGTATTACTGTCTTATTACTATCTTGTTGATACATGGTGACTTCATCGAAGTGATTATCTTATGGAAACATAAGAGATTTCAGAAGTTCTTTGTCTTAAGGTTCATTTTTTTTTACAATATACTTGTCATTATTTGTATATTTTTATACAGTAAGCCTATATGATGTTTTAAGAAGAACTTTTCCCAAGATATAATATACCCTTCAGTGTATTTCAAATGTACTGCTCAGTGGTTTAGAATATTCACTATATTGTCCAATTATCCCTGCAGTTAATTTTATAACAGTTTATCCTTCCAAAAAGAAACTCTATACTCGTTAGCAATCACACTCACTTCCCCCACCCAGAACCACATTCTGTCTCAGGAGGCTTGCCTCCTGGATATGAATAGAATATATGGTCTTTTGTAACTGACTTCTTTTCACTTGTTACATGCTATTGAGTTGGAATCAACTCATAGTTGATTTTCTAGTGATTTTTCAAAGCCAGTAAATCACATGGGAGTAGATTTCCCAACTTTCTCTTGAAGAACAGCTGGTGGATTTGAACCATCCACTTTTGAGTTGGCAGCACAATTCCTTAGCAGTAGGCCACCAGTATTCCCTACATCCTTTTACTTAGCATGTTGTGTCTATCTTATCCCTTTTACTTAGTATGTTGTTGTATATATCAGTCTTTATTTAATATCCCACTATGTGGATCTGCCATATTTTTTTTATCTAATCATTACTTAATATATACTTGGATTTCTCTCATTTTTGGACTGTTATGAATAATGCTACTTTGAATGTATTTGTATACTATATGAATGGAATTATTCTTAAATTATGTAGAGTGTAGACAAAGGAGCTGGATTACTGGGTCACATGGTAAACCTCTATTTGTCTCAATGACTCTGCCCAATTGTTTCCAACCTTAACTGTACAACTTTACCTTTCCAGCAGCAGTGTATGAGGGTTCCAATTTCTCTGCATCCTCCCCAGCACTTGTTAGAATCTCGCATTTTTATTATAGCTATTAAAGTAGGTGCTAAGTGATATTTCATTGGTGTACTTACATAACTTCTTAATCTTAGGTTATTTAAAATGCTTAAAAACCTGATAAAATGGAACAAAAGGAAATTAATAAATGAACTTGAATTTGTGAGACTGAGAAAGGAAATTTGGAGCCTTTCTAACCCTTTGTAATTTCATTTCAGGTGGCCTCTATGCAGTTCATTAATATTGTAGTCCATTCAGTAGAAGACATGAATTTCAGGGTTCACCTCCAATATGAATTCACCAAATTGGGCCTGGATGAGTACTTGGATGTGAGTATAGCTCTCAAATAGGAAAACTGATTTTTCTGTTCACCCTCAAAGGTTTTGTACCATGTTGTTGTTGTTGATCGCCTTCGAGTTGAGCACAACTCAGTGACCCTATGAACAAAAGGCCTGAAGCCCCTCTACAACTATCGACATTTATCAAAGTTCATAGAGTTTCCAGAGGCATATTGTTTAGGAAGTGTAGTGAGAAAAGGTTTAAAATTCCATGCAGCAAACCCTGTTGTGTCTGTTAATTAAGGGGAACCAGATCTGAGTGAATGACTCTGCCAGTGAAGTTGGATTCTTGCAGACCTCTTGGGACCTCAGGCTGTCTTCTGGCAACAGATGCTTGGACCAGAGTTAGATAACCTCTGGGATTGGCAATGGTTTTTCTTTGCTTTTGGGCTCTGTTGGGGTCAAGTCTCATTGCCCTCTTCCTCCAACTGTTGAGTCATTTACATTCTTGATCACTCTAGGGACCCTATCTAGGCAGGGAAAGGCAAACCAGGATGACTGTGGAGTGATGAGTAAATACTTAGAATAAAAAAAAATAATGAGGAAATGGATATTATAAACTTCTCATTTAGCTGTTAAGCTGTCCTTAAGGTTCCTGTGGCTATGGAAGATCCACTTCCAGTTCTTGGGAGATGGGAGTGGTCTTCAGTTTCTTTTTCTTACTCCTTTTCAGAATTTACTCAACCCGTTCCCTGAAGTTCTGCTAAGAAACAGGAAGTTGATGTGGAAGGCATAAATGGACTTCGGAAACTATGTTTGTACAGGCCTTTGACCCTTAGATGTATTTACATATTTTATTTTCCCTTCTGTCTAAGAGTGATATGGTGAGATTTGGTTCTTGGTTACCTTAGTCCAAGGTCATTTCTAGTTAGGAGGAAGGTTGAGGTACCCTGGGATTTGTAGAGTTGGACTGCCATGCCCATTAGGCCTGCTGCTGCCTTGTGCTGTCAAGCCGACTGTGGTTTCTAGACACTCCTGGTTACAGAGGAGACTGCTCCTGAGGCTGTGATCTTGGTGGAAGCATTTCCTTCTCTCATGTAGATCGAGAGCTTTGAACCACCCACCGTTTGGTTGTCAGGCAAGCTGAACCGCCTGCACCACCTAAGCACCTGCCATTATGGACAAAGATGAGGATTTGTATAGACTGTATCCTCTTATGTTGTAAAGTAGAACTTCAGAGTTGGTTACTCTGGGACTCTTGGCCTAGCTTTCCAAATAGTTGGCTTGCCATTGGATAGACTGTCAGGGAGAGGCTTGATGGATTTCTCTCAGAGTTGTTTGAATTATTTTCCTATTTGAAGACTTTACTACTATCACAAAACAATATAACTAAGAGGTTGGCTTCTCTACTTTGAAATCAAGCTTTACCTGTATCTTCGTAGTCCATATGCTCTGAGAAATGCAATATTTGAACAAAACATGGATGTCTAGCTTCATAATGGTCTTCTGGGTTACATTTTTTTTTAAATTCTACACAAAAGACTTGGAGAAAGACATGATGTTGGGAAGGGTAGAGGGTTGGTGAAGGAGGGGAAGACCTTCAACCAGGTGGATTGACACGGTGACTGCTGCAGTGGGCTCTTGTGTGTCAGGAAGTGTGAGACGGAACAGAATTCAGATCTTTTGTTCGTCAGATTGCTATGAGTCGTATCAGACTTGGTGGCACCTAACAACAACACCAACACCACCACCACCACAAAAGGCTAGGTTTTGGACTCCAGGTTACAGTGACAGTTATTTTCTGTCAATCAATACTCATTATCCTTACTCTTGTAAAAAAATTCAATTAAGCTACTAATTCATTTTCTCTCTAACCTTGCTCTTATTAAACCTTTGTCAAATATGCTGAAATTAATGTGTAACAAGTCTCTTAAGACTAGACTAAGTTGTGGAATTCCAGGTAAGTCCTAGGAAAAATGTCAATTCTTTGTAGAATTTATGTAAAATGGATTATCTTTTAAGATTTAATATTCTTTCAAGATACTGTCTTTCTTTAACTTTCTGATGTGTTCATTCTAGACCCTAATAGGCAGAGATGGTTAGACAGTAATATAAGCACATAATGTGTAAGTGCTTTGTTAATTTATAGTAACCCAACTTTGTAAGTACATCTTCCATGTACCAAGTGTTGTTCTGACCACACCACATTCCTCAGAATGAGTCTTATGTGGGGAAAATTCCATGATTGACTTTACCTCTAGCTTCACCTTGAAACTAGTCAAGTTTCATTTGGTTGCCAAACCCTGGGATTCAAGGAATATGGAGAACTTCCTGATAGTTGTTTTGAGGAGCCCTAAGCAGCTCTTGATGGGTAGTAGCTAAGGGAAACATCAGTGGAGAAGGAATGTGCACAATCTATCAGTGTCCGTGTCCCCCCCACCCCCTTCCTGCCTTATGTCCCACACACACATACTTGGGGGTAGGGGAGGCATTAAACAGGCAAAGATCCCACCCCCTCCATCTTTTTTCTGCTACACAGACACCCTTTGGGTTTTGTGTTGCCTGTGACTGCTACTCCCTTTCCAAGCTGCTTTTAATTTCTCCTGTCATCTTCAGTTTTGCATACTTTAAAGTACTCTAGGTTAGAATAAATCTACACTGGATAGGGAGGATTAGAGGAATAATTTGTGTGCACTTGGGAGAGGTTATTCCCCAGAAGGTAATTTAACTGATAGTATTTTCTTAGGCAGTCACTTCATAATTCTCTTAAGGAACATGATACATTAAACTTACTCTTGGAAGAAACCAGACAGACACACATAGACTGTTGGGGGATTAAACTCTCTTGCCACAGGTAATGCTAACACTGCTTTATCATGCATTTTGGTTATTAGAAGCTGAAACACACCGAGAGTGACAAGCTGCAGGTCCAGATTCAGGCTTACCTGGACAATGTTTTTGATGTTGGAGCTCTGCTGGAAGATGCTGAAACCAAGAACGCAGCCTTAGAGAGAGTGGAAGAACTGGAAGAAAATATTTCTCATGTAAGTGCATCCCAGAAACGGAAAAGTTGCTTAGGTTTCAATAGTCTGTGGCACTGAATTAATGTTGGCTTTCTGGCACTCATTAGAGCATTTGGAATGCATCAGTGCACTGCAGCTTGGGATGGAGAACTGTCAGACACACTGCTAGGGATTTTTCCCCAGCAAGTCAATTTGTGCTGTTTAAAACTAAGTGAGGTCTGTCACCTTGGCTTAGGTCATGTACCTGCTCAGTTCCACTGAGTTCAGATTTCCTGTCTGTGTCAGAAAGAGCCTCAGGAGAGTTAAGTAACTGTCTTACCCTAAAGGTGAGCGGGAAATCCCAATCAGAATGGGAAACTGACTTCAGGTGATGAAGAATCTTCTCTGGACATGAGTCGTCTTCTACCTGAGGTGTCCACATAGGCCCAGCAGACTGGATGATCTGATGTCTTTTTCATGCAAGTCTGCACATTCCTTCTTCTGGTCCCTTCCATTCTATTGCTAAAGAGAATTTCAATGAAGGACATTTTCAAGAAAACCTGCGAGCGTTTCCATGTATCCTCTTCTTGAAGAAAAGTGCTCTCTCAGAATGAGATCCAGCTTAGAGCTGGGCTCATTTATCTCTGAAGGATCTTTCTCGCCACAGTTCTGAGTCTAGAGACCTTTCGCTTTTGCTTAGCTGTTTGTTCATGATGCACATATTTAAATACTGAAAGAATGAATAAAAATATTTCCCTAAACCTCAATCAATGACTTATTCATAGCAAATACATATTTTTGTTTGCTTTTTCTTTAATAATTTTAATGAACATTTACAGAGAATTTGGATTTCCATTCATTCATTGCTGCACTTCTCTACCCGCCCAGCCCTCTCCCCCGCCCCCCAGTTCACTCCTCTCTTTAAAAAGTAAAAGAAAGACTCCCTCCTTGGTACACAATCCCAAATACATTTTTAAAGAGATATAAACGCAGGTTAT